ACTCTAATTAGTTTAGTGAGTAATTTAACACACATTTTGTAATGCTACGTTTAGCACAAGAGAATTCAACTAAACTGTTCATCATGTTCCATTTCTTGAATGCCAAATTAATTCCATCTATTAAAAATCACAAACTGTCTTCTTGTTCATGGTCAACCATCTCCAAACCTCTGTGTATTTACAGCACATTCTTATTTAAGCTTTAAATTAACAACAAAATTACTGTTAATTACAAATTGCTGCCCTCCCTGACATCTACACATAAAAAGAAATTAAATGTCGAGGTAGGAAATACAAAACAGAGCATCTATTTCCAATCCTTGATGAACTCTCTGACAAACTTCTGCCAACTGAGGAAAGGGGGCTGGTGAGGCAGAACCAAGACTATTGTGTATGTGGTGTGTCACTATCAACACCATCCTGGGATGTGCTGTGGTTTACAACACATGTCAGGGTAATGGTATTTTTTATTTTTATTCCAACGTTACTCTCCATTCCTCAACCCCATAAAGGAATTGTTTTCCTCATGGATTTATAAATCTATCGGCCACAAGTTCTCTGGTAATGACTCACCGGAACACAGTGGCACTCACTGTCTGAATGTGTGTCAGGAGAGAAAGTAAGGTGTGATGTTGATGACAAGTTGTTTGTCTACACCTGTAGCTATACAGTCTTTGCAAAATGGGACAAAAATAAAACCTCCTGAAGCATATTTCTGACTATTTTTTGTGACATATACTGTAAAGTAGCACAATTAATGCAAAAAAAGTGTCTTTCTTCTAGTGGTTTTGGTTTGTGTCAAATAATAATATGAAGAAAAGATACTCTGAAGACAACAGTGACACATTTTTTGTGTAATAAGTCGTAAACGTTCTTGTCGGGAGATTTTGTTGTCAGTCTTCTGGTACAAGAGTTGATCCTGAGATGTGTATAAAGAGTTCTGGTTGTATTCTAGATGTGAGTTTAGCTGCTGTGATGAGCAACATGTTGTTAAAGAGAACACAGTGAAGAGTTTTAAAAACAGTGAGTTCAGCATCAAGAAATGTGTGTGACTATTGTGTATTTATTTAAGCTTAGCAAATTAGGCCTATACTGCATGATCTAGTATCAGTTGCAACAGCTGACTGTTACACATGCTTAGTAGAGTAGTAACACAGTAATAAATCCAGTTAGCCAAGACGTAGGGCATGAGTAATTCAAAATACCTACATTTTGCAACTACTGTGCAAGTATTGAAAATGATAACAAAATGCAAAACACTCCGATTTACTTTTACCTGCCATTATGGTGTACATGTATGAGAACGAAGTCGGGATTGTGTCTGTATTTAGCACCTTTTTTTCCCCCTCAAACTTCCCGTCTTCTCCTCTTTCTCACACTTACACCCAAAACATCACTTCTTTAATCTTTCTCCATGTGTTCCCCATATCGTCACTGTCTCCTCGGCTTCTGCTACCTACCTTCTTTTTCAACCCCTTCACCTTCCCTTTTTTGTTTCCACTGACTTCCCAGCTGGCCTCTTGTGAAACATCCCTGTGGTTAAGTTCAGAAGCATGTATCCCAGGGCTCGTGGACTGCTCAATGTTCGCCAGAAGGGCGTTGCAATCTGCGGTTCAGGGAACAGCTGCAACATCAGTAGCCAGGGCTTAATGCTGCTAGCATAAAAGAATTGGACATAACCTGCAGATCTGAAAAGCAAAGCGAATGCAGAAGTGCCTTAGATCTACGATGTTTTTAACGGCCAGCAAGAGGTGGCACGACGAGTAAAAAAAACAATTCCACTGTCTATGAGAAAATGACCCTATACTTCTCACTTGACATTATCCTACTGAGCTTATGGTCTCAGTTGTTAGTTTCGAGTCTCCTTCAGGACAGCATGGTGTTCATTTTGTAAATGATGGTCCCATTTAGAGTCAAACAGATGATAAAGCAGGGGAAGCTTTAGGAGGAGGGTTACTTGTGACTGATGAGATGATCTGTCAATCAGAATAGACGAGTAGTAATACCCATCCATGGCACTGTGTACATTTAAATAACGTTAAAAGTACTTTTTGGTCTGTGTCTTCGTCGACGAACTCTGACCCTTTCACAAAGTGTTTTCAGTTCATGAAACCTAACTGTAACATTTTGATTGCCTAAAAAAGTCTTGTTCAGTGTTTGGTTGAACTAAAAAGCACTTTAAAGAACAACTTGAATCTGTTTCCAGTAAGCACAATTTGGTGAACCTTGTTCATATGCTCATACAGAGTTTTTTTTATATGCTGGAAGACAAATCATCAGTGAAATAAGTAGTGAACTCCATGGCTGAGCATTTCCACCTCAAAAATACAGCATACCAATGACCCTCTCAAATACATGAAGTCAGATGTCAGAGGTTTTATATGGAACAACCCTAAGGAGCCAATCCCTTCAACTTGCATGGTGGGGTTTTCTGTGTCAATATTCTTCTTTGGAATCGATTTCCGGTACGAATAAGTATGACTGAAATCCTCCAATATTAGGCTACGACTTGCCATTGTGTAGTGTAGAGTAGCTTTACAGCGCTGCAGATGTGCTGGTGTGCTCGAGCTGCAGCATGCGGGGGGATTGCATGAGGAGAGAGGTAGGGACTGTAAAGATCTGCACAGTCAACATAGCTGAGTTACATGTGGGATTATTTTCATG